TATTGAATAAAATGAATACAATAGGAGAGTCTGTATTTATAGGTTGAATACAAACCTAGATAAGTATAGAAGGAGATAGAGATAGAGAGAGATGGAGATAAGCTACTATATCACCATTAAGGAAAGCATTTTGACATCCATCTAAAAGAGATCCCAGTGGCGAGCAGCGGCAACAACAAGTAAGCTATGCATAGAGGTAAGCCGAGAAACCAGAGCGAAAGTCTCCTCATAATCAGTGCCATATTCCTAGGTAAAGCCTTTTGCAACAAGACAGGCTTTGTAGCGCTCAATAGAGCCATCATAATGGGTCTCGATTTTGTATACCTATCTGCAGCCAATTGTAGTCTTTCCAGGAGAAACATTAATAACATCCCAAGTATGAGTTTTGTCTAAAGCTTGTAATTCATCAGTCATAACTTGCTGCCAAAGAGGATTAGTACAAGCCTCACAATAGGAGGTAGGTTCATAAATAGAAAAGACAGTAGACCCTGACAATATAATCATGAAGATGAACAGGTGGTTGAGTTACCTGATATGGACGACCGGTGGGAGGAGGATCTGGTAGGGTGATAGGAGACTCAACGGGACCATTAGAGGGAACAGTCGGGACAGGATTAGGTGTAGGCAAAGGCGTCTCTAGAGAGGAGGAACTTGCATCAAAGGCATTAGAGAAGAGATCGATAGAAGGATTAGTAAACAGAATGAAAGTAGAAGATGATGATAAGTGGAACGAGGATAAGGATGAAAACATTTTATGCTCCCAGAAAACCACATGACGAGAGACATGAAGACGTTTAAAGATAGGATCCCAACAACGATAACCTTTATGTTCAATTCCATACCCAAAAAAGTAACAAAGACGAGAACATGGTTCAAGTTTGGTGTGTTCATGAGGTAGAAAGAGAACAAAGCATGCAGACCCAAAGCCCGAAGATTTATGTATGGAGGACTAGTGCTATGTAAATGTGCATAAGGAGTTTAGTCATGGATAATAGGAGTGGGAACACAATTGATAGTGTAAACAGTAGTAAGAGTAGCTTCCCCCAAAAAATATTCAGGACACGAGGAAGAGATAAGAAGGGCTCAAGTAGTGTCAAGAATATGCCTATGCTTCCGTTTAGCACGACCATTTTGTTGGGACGTGCCAGTACAGGAACAATGAGGCTGAGTACTGTGACGCTGAAGGAATGAGAGAAAATCAAGATCCTGTATTCCATAGCATTATCAGATCGAAATTTTTTAATGGTTTTAGAAAATTGGGTTTGGACCATGCTTGCAAAATTGTAATATGTTTGAGTTCTGATCGAATTTTTATGAGAAACAATCATGTAAAACGTGAAAAATCATCAACAAAGACAACAAAGTAACGTGATCCCCCCATAGTGATAGTAGGTGATGATCCCCAAATATCAGAATGGATAAGATCAAATGGTGAATGAAAAACAGAAGTACTTGCATTACATGATAAAGCAGGTTGTTTTGCAAGTTGACAAGATAAACAACCCAAAGTATCGGGAATGACATGATCTAACTGATCAGTAGAAACTAAAGATTTTAAATGACTAACAGAAATATGTCCTAAACGAAAATGCCAAATATTAAAAGGAAACATGCTGGAAGCAGATTTAGGAGCAGCTATCGGGGTGGAGTCTAGAATATGAAGATAAATGAGCTCATATAGACGTCCATGCTTGCAGCCGATCCCAAGAGTTTGTCCCGCCTGAGGGTCCTGTACCAAACAACCATTAGTAGAAAATGTGATAGTTAGATCAAGCTCACATAATTGACTAATAGAAATAAGATTTAAAGTGAGAGCAGAAATAAGGTAAACATTTGATAAGGATAGATGAGAGGTGGAAATAGAACCAATATGACTTATAGACATAAGAGAACCATCAACGGTATAAATGGAGGGAATATGAGGAGAGGAAGAAATAGAAGAAAATAGACTAGAACAAGAAGTCATATGATTGCAACATGTTGAGTCAAAATACCAGGGAGATGTACCTAAATCGGACATGGCTTGGGCCCATAACACATAATTAGAGCTGTCAAGGATAACAGAGATTGGATGAGAAGCATCATGATGATCTATAACGGTGGTTTGGTGAAGTAAAATAGAGAAAAACAATGCTATAGGGGCAAAAATTGCAAAACAGAGCGTACCAACGAGTCCGGAAGGTCGAAAATAGCTAGGAAAGAAGTTTGGTGTGCAGAAATGATGCCAGCAGGGGCGCGACTCACGTTAGCTAGAGGGTGCGCAGTGCACGATAGTAGCAGAGGTGTTAGCAGATGCGCGGCGCACGTTAAGGAGGATACGCGGCGCACGATAGCAACAGGCGTGTAGCGTACTGTAGTGCTGACGCGCTTAGGGCTGACGTCAGCGACGACGAAAGTGAAGGGACATGCGCGTGACAGACGCGTGACGTGTAATCTTCTGGCAACTGGTGCGTGGTAGCACATGTAAAGACTGGTGGCGTCGTGAATGACGTGCCTAGCAATAAGTGGTGCGTAAGAGCATATCTACGCTTGTTGTGGAGCGTGGCTAATGGCTCTGGAATCATTTGGAAGAGACGAATATTATGGTGTTGCAGGTTTGTGATTACGACCATTGGAATCGTCTGAAAATAACGATGAAGTAGTGCTGGAACAAAGATAATAAAGTGTATGGGTGATGGAATGAATGTTGTAGTGCCACTGTGTACGGGACTAAGCACAAAAAAAAAAAAAAAAAAAAAAAAAAAAGAAGAAGAAGATAAAAAAAAAAGGCTATAAGTGCAGAACCTAGAGCTCTGATACCATATTAGAATAGTTGAAAGAAACATGAAAAATGTGTATCTGTATTATATTGAATGAAATGAATGCAATAGGAGAGTCTGTATCTATAGGTTGAATACAAACCTAGATAAGCATAGAAGAAGATAGAGATAGAGAGAGATAGAGATAGAGATAGAGATAAACTACTATATCTACAATACAAGGAGATAAGTATAAATCTAAATCTAATATAAATCTAAATCTAATATATACATTAATGCGGCTAATGTGGCAATACTGTGAGCTCGTTTGGGAAGTCTTGGTTTGGGATTTTTTGGTTAAAATAGCTACAAAAAAATAAAATAGGTTTTTTAGTCTAATAAGATAAAATATCACATCTAACCCATAATCATTACATTCTTTCTCTCACAAAAAGTCAAAAAAATCTTCCCCAACGAGACTTTTTAGCCCAAAGCTAAAACATCCAAAAAATCAAAATGCCAACTCACTTTTCAAACGAACACCTAAGGTCCATCGGTTAGACTAAAAACAAAAGATAAATTACAAATATCTCCTACCCTTTTAAATTTCTAATCGCACAACAAATAATTCCTTTTATTGATTAGTTATTAGGTCAATTAACAGTTATTAATGATGTCAGAAATATATTTTAATTAAAATTTAAATAATTTCATTATTGTATAGAAGAATAATTAGGATTTTTTTTCTATTAATATTGTTAAACAAAAAATTTTGATAATGAAATCTTTGTAATTTTTAAAATTATATGGGATAATTCGTATTTTAAACAAATTACAATGATATATTTGAATTAAAATAAATAAATAAATAACAGGTTTGAAACAATTGAAGGAAACCAGAGGCTATTAACAGACTCAATCCTCTCTTGTCGAGGAATTAGTGAAATCTAAATCCTAAATTTTTTTACTAAAAAATAATCTTTAAGCCATCCCTATAAGAATTTGATTACAAATTGTTCAACAAAACAACATTAATGCATGTCTTTGCTTTATTATTTTATTTTTATTTTTTTTACTTATTTTCGTCTTAGAAATTTAAAAAAATTTTTTTTTTTTTAGGTTTTTAGATTCAGTTCAATGAGATGAATCAAAAAAAATTTAAAAATTCAAAAAAGACAAAAAAAAAAAAAAAAAAACCCAAAAATAGTGGGGTTTTTTTTTTTTTTATCTCGTCAAAAGTTAAAAAATTGAAAACTATTTGAGACTTTTAAAAAGTTTCACAGCACGACCCTGTAGACACCTCATTTTTGACCGCCCACAAGACTTGGATGCTTTGTCCTACGCATTCGATGATGAAAGTTGCGTTGAGTGTGGTTTGAATTCTCAACGAAGGATCTAAGTTCAAGTTTTGAAACAATCCCAAACCTTTCATATTTGCACTATTTTTACCCCAGAAAGTCATTTCTGAACCCTGTGCCAACCTGCACTGAGCATGAAGCAAAGGAACAGGGGAGCTCGTTGGGAGCCAACCGTGGCCATTTGGGGCTAGTCGGGTCTCTTTGGTGAGAAACACTATTCTAGGCAGGAATCAGCTAGTTGTTATTTTTTGAAGAATTTTCGACCTATTTTGCTCAAATTCTATAAATAAAAGCCTAAGCCACTGTGTTGAGGGTTAGAAAAATTTCAAAGAAGCTAAATCACCCTCGTGAGCTCCTTCTTCTTGTGCAAGCTAGCTTTGAGATATTTTGTCATCCTTACACCATATCTATACACCATATACAACCTTAGAGCAAAGCCTTAGAGCCTTGGTTGAGACTTGTGAATCACAATTCACACTTGAGAGGGCCTTTGGATTGAGTTTGGTTTACAAGAAGAGCTTGTTCTCTTCAAGAGGTAGAAGCTTTTTTTTTATGAATTTAATTATTAATATTTATAAATTTTATTATTAATTTAGTTTTATTTTTTTTAAATATACTGAATCTGAGATGCAATTCCTCAACACCTCCCTCACAAGGGGGAAAGAAGAAAAAAAACCTTTCATTTTTTCCTCCTAGGTCGCGCAATTCGGCATCAATCACTGAGTAGAAATCTAGTTCAAAGAAGTCCAAATGAGAATCATTGTTGGGTATAAATAGAAATATTCTAAATATCAAGATTTAGCCATGAGTTATTATTCTAAACATCAAGCTGTGGCCATGAGTTTTTTTTTTTTTTTTTTTTGATCATAGAAATGCCCGAAGGCTACAAAGAAAAGCCCAAAGGCTACAAAGAAACATCTGCCAAAAGCAAAGCCGAGAGAGCAGCAGGAGGGGTAGAAACCCAGTTAGAAGGCAGAGCTCCATGAAGATGAGCTCGTGCCACCCAGTGAGCTACTGCGTTTGACTCCCTAGGAATCCAAGCAAAGGAAACTTGGGAAGAGGAAGACACAACCTGAATATCATGCAGGAGTGCAGCAATGTCTCAGGGAGGAACCATCTCAGAAACACAAAGGGTGATCACTTCTTGGCTGTCACTCTCCACTTGAAGATTCAAAAGACCCAGAGCTCGAAGAAACATGCAAGCAAGATGAATAGCATGAGCTTCTCCTTGTTTAGCTGAAGAAGAGTAGGCTATAGAGGTCACACCATCAATTAGTGTCCCGTGGCTATCTCGCAGAATGACAGCCAACGCTGCTCTACCATCCGAAGAGGAGAAGCTGGCATCACAAGAAACTTTCAAACAACCAGGGGGGGAGCTATCCAACGAGGGAGAGAGCGATCTGGAATAGAATTCTGCTGTGATGGAGGCCCGGGGTGGTGATGGGCTTGTTCAAATTCCCACCAATAAGCACGGGCTTGTTGAGAAACGCGATGAGGATCCACAGAGCATTTTTGAAAAACCCAATTGTTCCTACTATTCCATATACACCAACCAACGGTGGCCACCCTACTCACCTTCTCTCTTCTGTCAAGCGCTTGAGAGCAAGATTGCATCAGAGATACCATCGACTGGAGAGCTGAAGCAATCGGATCGGACCCAATTCGGAGCCCCAGATTGCATCCAAACCACACGGCTCTCACCCAGTCACAGTGGAAGAGAATATGCTCGATGGATTCAACACTTTCCTGACAAACCGGACAGTGAGGTGAAGGAGCACACTTCCGCCGAAATAGATTTTCTTTTGTTGCTAGCCTGTTACAGCATACTCGCCACCAGAAATTTCGGATTTTCGGGGGGACGTTTAAGGACCAAATGAACTTCCAGAAACCTTTAGGGGGTTGGACAGAGAAGGAAGCTACAGAGGAGCACGCTTCCAACATCTCTTGTCGGGCCACCTGATAACCACTCTTGACTTCATAATTTCCTTTATTGGTATAGTGCCAGATCAGAGTATCTGCTTGACCCTCAAATGAGATAGGAATGACTGAGATATTACTAACATCCGCGTGATTGACAATCCCCAGAATTTTGTCTCTGTCCCACACAGCGTGGGTCGAATTGATAACATCCCCGACCCACTGAACTTGGCAGCCATCTGGTTTCAAACTGACCGGTTTAAAATTTGGAGAAGAAGGAATCCAACGGTCCTCCCAAAAATTAATGGACTGACCATTACCAACTTGCCACCGAAGGCCTTTACGAAGGAGATCCCTCCCTTGGAGAATGCTCGACCATGCCCAAGATGCCCTTCTCCCCCTTCTAGCTGAAAGAAAATCCGAAGATGGAAAATAAATTCCCTTTAGAAGTTGGGCACAAAGGGAGTTGGGAAATTTAAACAACCGCCAAGCTTGTTTAGCGAGAAGGGCAAGGTTGAAAGCTCTAAAGTCCCGAAAGCCCATACCCCCATGAGACTTGGTGAGAGAGAGTTTGGCCCAACTCGCCCAGTGGATGCCTCTATACTCCGGGTCGCCGCCCCACCGAAAGTTACGGGTGTAGAAGTTAAGATGATCGCTGAATTTTTTTGGAAGCATGAAACAGGACATTGCATAGGATGGAATTGCTTGGACCACCGCTTTCACAAGGGTTTCTCTACCGGCTTGTGATAGTAATCTCTGCTTCCACCCTTGCATTTTCTGAACAGCTCTATCTATGAGACAATTATAAGCTTCAGACTTTGATTTTCCCCAACTAGAAGGCAGCCCAAGGTATTTAGAAGTTTGTTGGGTAAGGGAGATGCCCAAACTGCTGCAAGTATCTAGACGGGTCTGAGCCGGAGTGTTAGAAGAGAAGGCAATCCCAGACTTGTCTAAGTTAATGAGCTGTCCCGAAGCTAAGCAATAAGACTCCAGGGTCTGTTTTAAAGCTAGGCATTCCTCCGCTTCAACCTTGGCAAAAAGTAATGCATCATCAGCGAAAAAAAGGTGTGTCAATGGAGGGCTACTATGCTTGATCTTAAGGCCCTTGATCCGTCTTTCATGAAGGCTCTTGGTCAGAGAAGCAGAGAGGACATCAGCGACCAGAACAAAGAGATACGGAGAAAGGGGATCACCCTGCCTCAAGCCCCGAGTGGGGATAAAGGAAGCACGTTTCCTCCCATTAGCAAAGACTGAGAAAAACACCGTGGTAACAACTGCCATAATCCATTGAATCCAAAGACCAGCAAACCCCATCCTCTCCAAGAGGGCAAATAAGAAATCCCATTGAACTCGGTCATAAGCCTTATTAAAATCCAGCTTCACCGCCATTGCACAGTCGAACCCTCTCCGCTTAAGTTTCAAGTGGTGGAAAACATCATGAGCTATAAGAATATTGTCTTGGATCATACGACCGAGAACAAAAGCTGACTGATGGGGATAAACCACCTGTTGCAGAATGGGTTTAAGCCTATTAGCCAAAATCTTAGAAATGATTTTTAGATTGAAATTACACAGACTGATGGGACGATATTGAGAGAGTTTGACTGGATTTGAGACCTTGGGGATAAGGACCAAGTTAGTTTGGTTCCATTCTCGAAGAAGATGCCCATTCTCAAAGAAGCTCCAAATTGCCTTCGTCACTTCCGCCCCAATCACATCCCAATACTGGTGGTAAAAAATCCCAGAAAAGCCATCAGCACCAGGGGCTTTCAAAGGCCCAACTGGAAAGCTGCCTTTTTTATCTTCGAGTCAGATACAGGTCTTGTGAGAGTGTGATTCATTTCGGATGTAACCGAATGCCGAACCCCTTGCAATACAACATCCATAGTCCTTGGAGGCTCACTCTTAAACAGGCTACTGAAATACTCCAAAATTAGGGAGTTAATGTCGTCATCCGTTGTCAACCACTGCCCCGCTTCATTTTGAATAGCACTTAACTGATTTCGTTACCGTCTTTGAGTAAGAGAGGCATGAAAAAAAGAAGAGTTACGATCGCCATATTGTAACCACCTGACCCGGGACCTCTGGTGTAAGAACATCTCTTCCCGTAACATAGTTTCAGAAAGTTCAGCTTGAATACGACCTTGGGCATTTGAAGTGTCCGCAGAGGAAGGAGAAGCTTGAAGCCTCGCCAAATGCTCTTTCAAAGCTAGAATTTTGACCCGGTTATTTCCAAATTCACTCAAACTCCAGGCTTTAAGACCCCTGCGGCATGTTTTGAGTTTCTGGCAAAACCGAAACATGGGAGAACCCAATTGGGACATCATCCAATGCTCTTGAATAACTGTTCGACAATTTAGAGAGGTAGTCCACATGGACTCAAACTTGAAGAGGCGAGGGACTTTATTAGGGGGAATACAAGTATTGAGCAAGAGTGGACAATGATTAGAGCTGAAAATAATTTCATGAAACACTTGGGCATAGGGAAATAACACCCTCCAAGCCACTGTGGAGACCGCCCGATCTATGCGCTCCCGAACTATGCTTGACCCCCGATGATTGTTGGACCAAGTAAACACGTTGCCTTTGAACTCAAGATCCATGAAAGCACAGTCATTCAAAATAGATTGAAATTTTTCAATTCTTCGAGGATTCGGCACAGTCCCTCCTTCTTTTTCGGTGACAGACCCGATCTCGTTGAAGTCCCCGATACACAACCACGGCAAACGGTTGTCCCTTGCAATAAGCCAGAGTTGGTTCCAGAAGACATCTTGTTGACTAGCTCTAGCAGGGGCATAAATAAAAGTAGCAAGCCGCTGGGCTCCAGAATCAGAGAGCACACACCTCAGAATATTTGCATTCTGGTCTCTAACGTCCAAACTGACCTCATTAGCCCACCATAGAGCTAGTCCCCCTACCATACCCGCAGGATCTACATAACAATAGTTAGGGAATTGAAGTCATCTTCGGATCCATTCCAAAACCTCCCTTTTATTCTTGGTTTCCATGAGAAACACCACACCAGGACGATGGGTTATGCATAACCCTCCGAGGATCTGGACTGTCAGAGGTCGTCCTATCCCCTGACAGTTCCAACTGATGATTAACATGGCCCTTGTGGCTGTTGAAGGCCAGCCACCAATGCCTTTGAGTTGCAAGTTTCGAATTCCACAGGAAAAGTGCTAGGGACCTGGGAAAGGAGGTCCTCTGAATCTACCCAAACAGTGAGTCCATCCCGAATTTCCACATTGAATAAGTGTGGCTCAGCAAACACACTAGTAGGGTTTCCTTTCGGTTTTAGAGATCTATGCACCTTTTTCTTTCGAGGGCGGGATTTGTCCCCAATGGAGGGAGGGAAAAGAGCTGGGGAGGAAAGTGTTGTGAGAGGGAAGTTCAGAGCCGGTACGAGTTCAAAGGATGGTTTGAGGGATTTTGTGGGGCTTGGGCTATTGAACTCCTCTATAGAGGCCTTTCGTTTTAAAGATAGCCCATGAAAGGCCTTGGATAAGAAATTAGTGGGGGCTTCCTTACAGAGGGTGAGGGCTTTTGGTGAGGAAGTTGGGCTAGGAATGGGGCTACTGTTAATAGAAAGGTTTGGGCCTTTAGACAGGAGGGAGGGTGGGCTATTAGGAGAGTTGGGGCTTTCCTCCAAAGGCTCAGTAACAAAGTAGGCTAGCTCAGCATGGTTTTGGCCCACGGGAACAGAATTTTCATTTAGGCTGGGCCCAGGTCGAGAAAGAGCCAAAGAGGAAGGTAGTGGGAGCATTACCTCAGGTGGTGGCAAAAGCTGAGAGTGCACAGGTAGTGGAGCAGGCGCTGTTATGCCAGGTGTATCCCCCCTATTGCCACGCGGGGAACGAAGAGGCGTTCTGTCCTGTACTGCCGATTCTGCCAGAATTACGGGCAATGAAGGTGGTGGTGCATCATGGGCCAGAGTACTGGTGTCGCTGGTCGGAGGGTCCGCCCTTGGAGCATCCCCGCATTCACGAGGAAGGTTAGAAGTACGCCGGAGTAAAGGGCTAATGCGTTCCTCCAACACATTGATCTGTTGCCTGTAAAATTCCACCGGAAGACCTATATTGCGAGCTACCCCAATTCTGAGATCAGGCCCATAGCCAGAAAGACGTCCCTCCTCACTAGACACAAATTTACAGGAATTTCTGTCATGGCCAATTTTGCCACAATCGTAACAAAATTCAGAGAGACGTTCATACTTGAAGGAAATCCAGGCCTCTGTCATCTCGGATGAACCCTTGCTCTGTCGCTGTAGCATAAACCCCTTAGGGAGTGGAAGAGTGACATTAATATCCACCCGAATTCGGAGAAAACTTCGTGAGAACAGAAGGCCGTCATTTGGACCTTCCACTCCAATGAGTTTCCCAATCGATCCACCAATAATCTGCCCATTACGTCTAGTCATTTTGGCCAAGGGGAGACCATGAACTTGAACCCAGAATGGACAGTAATTAAATTCGATCTCAGGTATAGCTTTCTCAATAGAGAGTGGTTGGAGAACGAGGAGATTACCCATTATGGACCATGGGGCCGTTCGAAGAACCATAGCTCTGTCATCTGTATTCTGAAAGCTGAAACAATAAATGTTGTCTGCCCAAGGGGATATAGAAACCTCAACCTTAAGTTTCCAAGCTCCAAGAATGATACGGGAGACCGCTTGTTTGTTAAGGGATTCAGTAGCTAAAATCTTGCCGATTAGACAAAGGTGCGAGTGATCAACACTCTCCTCTGTACCTTCGTCCAGATCAATGGTAAAGGGGTCATTCGAACCTAGCGTATGCGTCGTCATATGCTCAAGCAAAGGAAATGGAAGGGGGGATGAATGTAAAAATGAAAGTAAAGCTGGGTAGGGAAGAGGGGAGGGCAAAGGTGAGCAAATCTCAGTCCCAAAAACGGGGTACGGAAATTAGGGAAACAGATGAGTGAACGGGTGAGGGGGAGGAGAGGAGAGCAAAGGTGAGAATAGTGGTGAGAAAGGGTAACTAGAAGAAGGGTTCAGGAATAGAGACGAAGAGATGGGACAGGAAAAAGGAGAAGAGAAGCAGGGATAAACCCAGAGACCATACCCAACAGTGGGAGAGAGCTTCTCATCTTAGAGAGAGAAATCACTTGTTACAGTATACCATAAATGGTTTACTTCTTGTAAAATTGCACTGTATCTATCTATAAGGAGTTTTGCAAAGGACAAAGGAGCCACGGTCACCCTTAATCTATGAGTAGTTCCGTCCCGAAAGGGATCATGCTCTAACAATAATGGTACTAGGCTTATCTCATTGTCTCAGAATTAATATAAATTCAACATCATGAGGCACCTTATTTTATTGTTGTTTGTGACATTTTGGTGGCATAATTACAGGTCCATTTTATTATTCCCATCAATACTAAAAAGAAAAATCTTATGGTAATACACTTGGGAAAAAAAATATGAGTAAATTATACTTGTACCACTTGAATTCTGATTTTATAGATACTTTTTTGATGTTTTGAAAATTACAATAACCCCCTCTATCAGAGTGTTGATTAATCCTTTTAACAGAAAAATTAAAATGACTTCAATACTCTTGGTCATCATCATCTCCTTGAGATGGAGTAAGGCCTTGTTTGGGAACAAACTATTTTAATAATTTTTAGACTTTTTATGAAAAAGATATACAAAAAAATAGAAAGAGTGATGTGACAACGTATAGTAATTTTTTGACTAAACATATAATTACCAAACGAGACCTAAGTATAGAGATTTTTCTCCATCTTACCTCCTCTTCACAATCCATCTCTTCTCTTTTATCACTGACAATTTTAGTTGACACTCTTTAAAGCATTTAGTCAAACAAAAGAGGGAAAGGAAAAAAAATAAATTAACTCCAATATTACTTCCGCTATAAAATCAAGCAAAATAAATTTTTTTAGGTAAATTATACTTACACCCCTTGAGATTTGAATTTAATACATATCATGTCTTGATGTTTAAAAATTACACTGATCGCCCTGTCACTGTAATTATTTAGACAGAATTAACATTGGTATAAAAAAAAGACATTGAATTCATACACTCTTTTTTTGCTTTGCTTTATTTCTCTTTTTTTTTTCTTCCTTTGCTTTATTTTTTTTAATGTAATTTCATTTTTTTTTTACTAGGAGTTATTGCCTTTTATATAAGAATGAGTGTTTGTAAAATGAGACTATTAACCACATGGGTGGAAATGTAATTTCTGTAATGTTGGGAGGTGGGATGTAATGGAACCAAATCTCAGGGATGTCAATGTAATTTACCCAAATTTTTTAATTTAAAAAAAGAAAAAAAAGAAAAAAAAAAGAGTAAATGGTTCATGACAAACTAATTAGAAAAGAGATAAATGCAGTGTGAAGATTATTAGTAATTTTGAAGAAGGGATCCAGGTTATCGGTGCCATTATCACAATCCATCAAAGAAATTAACTGATAATGTCAGCAAATGGTTCTTAACATAACAGCTAGTCAACAAAAAGGACAAACTGTAATAAAATTATAAATTTTAAAAAGAAAAATATACTTTCAAAATATCAAGATTATAGTTATGTTAAAGTCAAACTTCAAGAGTGGAGGTGTATTTAACAAAAATAAAATAAACTAAATTCAGTGCCATAGACCGCATTGTCCAAAATACATTTGAAACATTCATTTTTTGTGAGTCCCATGCAATATCTATACAAATGAATGACTTAAATATGGGCAGTCGGTTGCCTCCGCTCCAATTGTTGGATTGGATGACATTATTTGGATATGTGAGATTCACTATTAGTTCGTTTTGATCATTTATGTAATTTATTTTTTAAGTCATGTTATGTAGATTATTTATACAAAAAATTAAATCAATCCGATATTTATAACTATATAATTTTATCACATTTAATTTGAAAAAGTGAATGACATGAGTGATTTTAAAAATAGACGTATAGTTTATCGAAGATAAATATAATAAAATTATATATCTATGTTTATTGGATCAACTTATTTTTATTTTTTATTTTTTTTATATTATTTTTTTTGAATGACCTATATAAAATAAGGAAAACACGTGAGAGCTCGAATGGCTCGAAAATATTATCTTACCGATAAGAGAATCAAAAAATACCTTAAAACGATGTCATTTTAAAATTTTGAGCTATTCGAGCTATTTAATTTTCGAGCTACATAGCAGTGCTGATAAAATAATATAAAAAATAAAAAATTCAAATAATCGAAACGGAAATCTCATAAACTCGTTCACTCCAATAATTGGACTGGAAAAGAGCTACACCAAAAAATGCAACATTTCTCTACTCTAGGTAGCCACGTGATAGAAAATACATGTTGGTGCATAAATGACATTAACGGTTCAAAAAGTTAAAAAATTATTAAAAAAAAATTAAAAGATAATATTTGTATGAAAAAGTCAAAAAAAATTTCTTTTTACTTTATTTTTTATACGTTTTTTCATACAAGTTTCTCATGTTTATATTTTAAGAAGGAAGAACTTAAGAGGCTAGTGGGGCCTTTTATATCTAGAGGTGTAAATTTGGTCCGACTCGGCCTGGCTAGACCTATGTTGGGCTTCGCGGACTCCTGTCAAAATTCGGATCGGGCTACAGGTTGCGGCCAGAAAAATTAGGCCAAGGCCCAGGGGTATTCGGGCCTTGGGCGGGTCAGGCCTTGGGCCTGGGCCTGGGCCTGGGCTCGGGTTTGGGGCAGACTTGGGTAAATTTTTTTTTATTTTTTTTAATATTTTCTATCAAAATTTTATTATTTTTCACTAAAAAAGACACTGGGTTTCGGACAGGCCAGTCTTTGAGTGGGCCTTAAGTAGGCCGATGGGCCGGACTTCAAAATGATGGCCCAGCCCCAGGGTCTCGGGCTGAGCTCAGTCCCGGGCCCAAATGAGTCGGGCCCA